TTTACGATCGGTCCTATGGCAGCTATATGATATAGTCGTCCGATTTTGATAAAATTTAATTCGAAATTCAGAACTAATTAAAAAATGTTATTTCCAAGCGTAGGAGGTTATATGTTAAGGAACACCGAAGCTATAATTTGTTTCATATTATTTTCACACCAATTTCACGATCGTTCCTATGGCAGCTATATGATATTGTCTTCCGATTTTGATAAAATTTAATTCGAAATTCAAAACTAATTAAAAAATGTTATTTCCAAGGAAAGGAGGTAATATGTTAAAAAACACCAAAGATATAATTTTTTAACATTTTTTTTCCGATTATTCCTATGGGAGCTATAAGATTTAGTTGTCCGATCCGGCTGGTTCCGACTTATATACTACCTGCAAAGGATATAAGACTTTTGGGAAAGTTTCAGCCCGATAGCTTTAAAACTGAGAAACGGACGGACAGACGGACATGGCTAGATCGACTCGTCTAGTGATGCTGATCAAGAATATATATACTTTATGGGGTCGGAAACGTCTCCTTCACTGCGTTGAAAACTTCTGACTGAAATCATTATACCCTCTGCAAGGGTATAACAAGCACCTTTGTTTCTGGTAAAGTAAGACAGATCACAAACAAACAAAGTCATTCAAATTGTTTATAGATTAGTTTTTCTTAAAGATTTTTAAAGAACTTGTAAAGCGCGTTTTGACATCGTAAAAGAAATAAACGTCAACAAATAGAGACGTGTACCATTTTACAGTTACTTCTTAAACGAACCAAAAAGCCATCATTTGACAAAATCATTATACCCGTTACTCGTAGAGTAAAAAGGGTATACTAGATTAGTCGGAAAGTATGTAACAGGTAGAAGGAAGCGTTTCCCCATAAAGTATATATATTCTTGATCAGGATCACTAGCAGAGTCGATCTAGCACATGTCCGTCTGTCCGTCCTTATGAACGCTGTGATCTCGGAAACTATAAAAGCTGCAATACTTGGATTGAACATGCGGATTCTAGAGATTCCTGCGCAGCACAAGTTTGTTTCGTCAGTGTGCCAAGAACACTCTAACGCCAACAAACCGCCAAAAACTGTGGCTCCTACAGTTATAATGCTAGAATATAATAATAATACATAAAGCTGCATTGTATTGCCTACCTAATCAATACCTATCGATTGACCCAAAAAAAAGTTTGGCACGCCCACAAGCCGTCCACAAACTTCAAAAATCTTACATATCAACGCGTATATCTCGGAAACTATCAAAGATAAAGAATTGACATTTCAGATTTAGATTCCGTCGGCTTGTACGCAGCGCAAGTTTGTCACGCGAATATACCACGCCCACTCTAACGCCCAATTGAATGAATTCCAGCAGTGGTCAGTTATCATGTTTTACTCCTGAACGCAGCCATTAATTATCAGATCGTTCCTATGGCATCGTCCGATTTGTTTTAAATTTTATTAAAAATTCTTTAATATTAAAAGAATGATATTCTCAAGAGTAGAAGTTAATATATAAAAAAACAACGAAGTTATCATTTTTTTTTAAAATATATTTTTGATCATTCCTATGGGAGCTATAGGCCCCATCAAGTATATATATATTTGATCAAGATCACTAGGCGAGTCGATCTAGCCAAGTCCGTCTGTCTCGTATGAACAAGGCGATCTCGAAAACTATAAGAGCTAGAATGTTGGCACTAAGCATGCAGATTCTTGGGCTTCCTGCACAGCAAAAGTTGGTTTCATCGGAGTTTCACGCCCACTCTAACGCCCATAACGCAAAAACCTGTCAATCGCCCACATTTTGGAAGATTTTGTAAAAGTATGTAAATGGGCTTTTGTTCTTATAATCAATACCCAAATACATGCCAGAATTTATTAAAATCTGAGCATTCATTAAATAGTAATAAGCAAATGATATGATATAATTTTATTATAATATAATCTAAAATATAAAAATTAAATTGGCTGTTTCCGAGAATGCACAACTTGCTTTACTGTACTCACACAGGGTATTTACGCTTCAGCAACCTAATTCCGCTTCAGCGACTTTTTCTTCCAAAGTCTAGTACTCCCGAAAACCGCGAGCTAACCATAGGAGTGAGCGAGAGGCAAACAGGCGGCTAAGGCTTTTCGTCGGCTCTGTTTTTCAACGCGGTACTCAGATGAGCTAAGGAAATACCAGAAAAATACCAGATATCGCCAGTGAATTTTCGATGAACGCCGTTAGCCGCGGCCCAAAGAATAAGAAATTTAATCTTTGGCGGTCTTCGTGCAGAAGCGGTGGGAAATTTAAAAATTAAAAATGGAAGAAAAACACCGAAAACGGCTAAAGGAGGTCAGGGCAGATGAAAAAGGACGCCTAATCCAAGCTGTTGCCCATTATGGTGGGACTTGACCGACAGGAAGCAATACCACAACGGGGCAAATCCGCAGAATAGTTGAAGCCAGTGGAAAGGAACATGGGACATCGCTTGATCTCCGACGAGCTTTCCATTGAGTACTCCACCTCCACCAGCTACTTGACAGCTAAAGCCTAGATGGAGGACGCGCCGCCTTCTATAGGGAGGAGAAAATAGGGTCGCCCGATAAGGGACAGCTGGATGAGCCATCACCAGCCATTATTGGCCAGCCTATTGGGACTCGGAGCTGGACTACAGATGGCGCCGGAAAGATGGCGAAGCATCCGTGGGACGAGAAGGAAGCCTTAAACTTCTAATTTACATAAATAAAAACATTCGTTATACATTTCATTTATTTTTATTTTAATATCTTTGTGCACCAGCAGACTCTTCTTTTTTAAAGTGCTCCAATTGCTTTGCTTTCCGTTTGGCAACAAGCACCAGCTGCTTGACAGTAAGACCATGTCACATGCATTGCGGGTGAACTTTGAAAACTTCGGTCACACTACAAAAAATAAGATTTTTCGACTAGTGAAACTCTTAGTCGATCTGAGTACTAGGCTTAACGCTTTTACTCGGGTCTGTTTTTTAGCGCGGTACTTAGATGAGCTAAGAAAATACCAGAAAAAATACTTGATTTAGCGAGTGAATTTCGATGAACGCCGTTAGCCGCGGCCCAAAGAAAAAAATTTAGTCTTTCGCGGTGTTCGTGCAAAAGCGGTGTTGAAAAAAAAATGAATTTAAAAATGAAAGGAAAACCCCAAAAAACCTGCAGCAGGTTACTGCAGGTGAGAAAGGACGCCTAATCCAAGCTGTTTCCTATTATTCTGAGACCTCACAGACAGGAAGCAATACCACAACAGTTCTAATCCGCAGAATAGTTGAAGTGCTGGAGGAGATCCACTAGAGCATCCCAGTGGGAAGGCACATGCCGAGTGGGACTTCGATCGATCTCCTACGAGCTCTTCATTTAGGAACCACCGGACTCCACCTCCACCAGCTACTTGACAGCTAAAGAGGATATGGAGGACGCACCGGCTTCTATAGGGAAGAAAAAATAAGGTCACCTGCTAAGGAACAGCTGGAGGAGCCATCAGCAGCCATTACCAGGATGCTGGGCGACTTTATGCAGCATCAGGCGGAACAATCCCGTTCCCAATCCGGCTCCCACTTCCTCAAGATCCTCAAGGAGCTGGACTGCAGATGGCGCGGTAAAGATGGCGAAGATCCCGTGGGACTAGAAGAAACTACTAAATTACATAATTAAAAAATTCGTTGAACATTCTATTTATTATACCCGTTACTCGTAGAGTAAAAGGGTATACTAGATTCGTCGGAAAGTATGTAACAGGCAGAAGGAAGCGTTTCCGACCCCATAAAGTATATATATTCTTGATCAGGATAACTAGCCGAGTCGATCTAGCCATGTCCTTCTGTCCGTCTGTCCGTCTGTCTGTCCGGATGAACGCTGAGATCTCGGAAACTATGAGAGCTAGGCTATTGAGATTTGGCGTGCAGATTCCTGAGCTTCTTACGCAGCGCAAGTTTGTTTCAGTAGACTGCCACGCCCACTCTAACGCCCACAAACCGCCCAAAACTGTAACTCCTACAGTTTTGATGCTAGATAGAAAATTTTAACTGAAATGTATTGTTCTCATCAATACCTATCGATTGATAAAAAAAAGTTTGCCACGCCCACTTAAACGCCCACAAACCGCGAAAACCTGTGACGCCCACAATTTGCATGCTAGATAAAAAATTTTAACTGAAATGTATTGGTGTCGTCAATACCTATCGATTGATCCAAAAATAAATTTGCCACGCCCACTCTAACGCCCATAACGCTTAAATCTGTCTACCGCCGGTAGGTGGCGCATTTTAATCTCGCTTTGCTGCTTGCATATCTCCATTTCCCTTTGAGTAACGGGTATCTGATAGTCGAGGTACTCGACTATAGCGTTCTTCCTTGTTTTTAAGTTAATTTCTTTGAGCACTAGTAGACTCTTCTTTTTATACCCGTTACTCGTAGAGTCAAAGGATATACTAGATTCGTCGGAAAGTATGTAGCAAGCAGAAGGAAGCGTTTCCGACTCCATAAAGGCACTCGACTATAGCGTTCTTCCTCGTTTTAATTGGCATAACCTGGCACCTGCTGCACTAAACATTATTTATCTATTATCTATTTATCTAAGAATATGCCATTTGAAGGCGCAACGACCTTATAAAACGGTTGCTCACAAAATGGATATAGTCAAAGAACCGTAAACGAGGCAGATCTTATAAATGCTTAAAAGCGTCCAAACGGTTCTAACTTGTGAGAAATTGAGTGGCATCACTGTTGGCCCCAAATAGCCCCTAATCAATTTTCAGTACTCTTGCCTAAATTGAAATATCATTAAATAATTTGCCAATAAAGCCTAGTACTCAGATTAATCTTTAACCGCAATGTACTTAGCATGTCCTTACTGTCAAGCAGCTGGAATTGTTTTGTTGACTATTTGAAAAAGACGAATCTGCTGGTTCACAAAGAAATAAATACATATGCAATGTTCAAAGGATGTTTTTATTTATATTAATAAATAGTTTAAGGCTTCCTTGTCGAGTCGCTGATGCTTCGCAATCTTCTCCGCGCCAACTGCAGTCCAACTCCGATTCGCAATACGCCAACATGGGCCATGAGTCAGTGGAAGCGGGTTTCGGGACGGGGTTGTTCCGCTGATGCTGCATGAAGTTGCCCAGCATCTTGGCAATGACTGGTGATGGCTCCTCCTCCCTATATAATGGCTCTGCTAAAAAGATACTTATATTAGTACAACATAACCAAATTATTTTGGCCAGAAATTACTTTCCTTGCGTGGACTCGTTTAGCAGGATGTCCAAGAAGGGAGCGAAATGGGCTTCTCGATTGTATTATCTCCACTATTCTGCTGATATGCCCTGTTGTGGTATTGGATAACTTGGATAAGACTTGGATTAGTCGCCCTTTATCATATGGACCTTTATCATATCGTACAGTAACTGTACGAACCATTAAAGGCCTAAGAAGCACAAATATATAAAATTGAAATACAAGTTTATTTTATACAAATAAAATCGGAGGACTTTTGTCATGAAACATTAAAAAAACCATTTGCATTTTTTTGTCGTCCTCGAAATATTAAACCAATAAACTAAATTAATTTTGTAAGCCTGCGGTAAACGTATTGTGTGAACGCCGTGTATATATTTTTTCCAATAACTTCTTAAGCAGTAGTGTGAAGACGGTGTACAGTCGATAGTTTTAAAAAATGGCTTTCAATAAAGCAAGAGTATATTTGTTTCTATTCACTGTTTCCAATTTTTAGAAAATTTCCAATTTTAATGATTAGACTAATAAAGTAAGTAATTCTCACAGCTGAGTGGATGTTTGTAAAGGTAACATCGAATTAAGTTCATGTAAATATTTGTTTTAATTTACAATTTATATTTTACAGATATTTGATCCATCTTAAAAGGGTTTGTCATGTACACATCATCAGACTTTTTGTAACTAAGGGTGGCTTATTGATTTTAGACGGCATTTTATCATCGTTGGATGTAAATAAGTGTAATACCAACCAATAAAGAAAGATGCAATCTCAAGGACAAGGTCAGCAATTGTCGCAAATGCAATCAGCGGCTCATTCATTATTACAACATCATTCAAATGCCACAGGGAGCAATTTAGTCGGAAAACAAAATGATCTGCAATCTTTATCCTCTGTTGGTAAGGAACAAACATACTTAACTGCATACATAATGTACACGGTATAGTAATAAAATTAGCTATTTGGTTTTTTTATACCCTTGCAGAGGGCATAATGATTTCAGTCAGAAGTTGGCAACGCAGTGAAGGAGACGATTTCGACCCCATAAAGTATATATTCTTGATCACTATCTCTAGTCGAGTCGATCTAGCCATGTCCAACCGTCCATTTCTACGCAAACAAGTCTCTCAGCTAGTCTAAAGCTATCGGGATGAAACTTTCCCAAGGTCTTCCTTCTATTGCAGCCGTATGGGACCATTGTATCCTATGGCTCCCATATGAATGTTCAACAAAATATTTTGTTTTAAATGTAAACAAATGTATAACTTCGGTGGTCTTTGACATTTTAACTTCTAAATTCGAATTTAAATTAAATCAAACAAAAACACCTCTTAACGAGGTAAAAAGTAGTGGGAAACGCGCTTTTAACAAAAATTTCTGATATCAAGAATTGAGACGAAAAATGATATAACATTCGATAAAATAAATAAACTATATTAAATTTATGATTTCGGCCCGCAACAGTAAATATTTATTTACCTTCACGTAAATTTTCTGTTGTTGCGTGCCGAATACATAAATTTAATATAGTTTATTTATTTTATCGAATGTAAAATCATTTTTCGTCACAAGTGTTGATATCAAAAATTTTTGTTAAAGGCCACTACTACTTGCCACTACTTTTTACCTCGTTAAGAGGTGTTTTTGTTTGATATCAGAAGTTTTTTTTTGCACAAGAGTTTAAGTACCCCATTACCATGACTAGGAGTCGTCCCCACATGGCTTGGCTATTGAAGAACCAAACACACAGATTCGAACCCTTATCTTAGCTGAACGCCACCTTAAAGTAGGCACTGTAGCGTCATTACCAGTCGGCACCCTCGAGGAGGGTTCAGTATGGGAATCTCAAGGGCTGTATAGTTTCAGATTCCAAGGGAAATCTGTCGTTTCTTACATTTCCCGCCGAACTAAAGGGGTTTTTCCAAAGTGGTAGAACAAATAGATTGAGTTTCCTATATCGATTAGCTTAACGCAAGTAAAGGACCCTAATACCATAACAGATTTTCCGTTTGAAAAAATCCAATAAGAATATTTTTCATCAAATAGTTTTTTTTTCTTGTTTATTCCAATAAGTATGAAATATTTCGTATACGGAGCTGAAACGAGTTGCACTTTTTATCGCTTAATATCTTCCAAACGGTAATTTTTAGGGCAAAAAGTGTTACATATCTAAAGTTGAAGAATCTCAAGGGCTATATGATTTGAAATTTAAAAAGAAATCGTTCGACTCAATTTTAAGAAAATAGTCAAAAAGTGGTTTTAAAAAATAATTTACTATTTACTATAATTTACTTTACTATATGAAGGGTATTTAGCAAATTAAATTATCTTTTCAGAGATATATAGCACGTTTCTGTAGCATTTGCTGTTTAGATACTATAAGCATTTTAAATCTGGCTTTTTTTTTGATTTTCCGCTAAACTAGCAGGTTTTTCCAAAAGTCGTAGAACAAACGTTTTCTAACTCAAGGTACTTTATACACCCATAGGGTTTCCAAAACCCTAAAACTAAGATGGGATGCATACAAACCCTCAAACAAAGGGACAAACATTTTCATTTTGGGAAGAAGAAAATCTTGTTTTTTGAATTACTTTTGAACGGGACATCGGGTTTCAACTGAGGTGTCATTCGACGCGTATTCTCAGTAGGAATAAAACTAGCTAAACAGCCGGCGGCTTTTATCCCCACTCGTTACGATCGGACCATAATGGCAGATTTTCAATTCTGCGGCTATATATAGAAGCTGTCTTCGCACGCTCTCTTGCGCGCTTCGCCACTACGTGTACTGCCGTCCACAGTGATCAGACGACTTCATCAAATAGCTGCCATAGGATCGATAAAATAATTAATGTCAAAATAATACATAGACCATTATATTTGGTTTTCGGTATACATATACGGTAGTAAATTGAAATGAAACATATTAAATTTTGTATAATTAGTTTATAGGTTTCTAAAAATCGGTAAGCTCTGTGCATACAATGCTCCCACGGGAACAACCTGCAAGCGTATAGAAACTACGGCGTGCCCAAGCTAACTTTTCTTGTTTTTCTCTATGATATATGTTAATATTTAATTCAATGCTCAGTCAGCGATAGTTGTGCTGAACTGCTAAAAATAGCCATTTTTTGTTGTTGTCGGCGTACGAAATGTATCTATTTATAGTTTTTCCGCTTAACTAGAGAGTTGCTTTAAAGGTGGTAGAACTAAAGTTTGTTAAATTGACCTGTTTAACACCATAAATATATTTCCAAGACCTTGGATGCGCACAATGAAATTTTAATGCTCAGGCACCGTTAGTTAGTTTTGTTGATAAATACCTTTCAAACTTTACTTTTTACAACAATGAGTAAAAGTTCAAACTGAAATCGTTAGAGCCGATGTTGAGCAATGGAAAAAAGCTTAAAAAAAAAGATATTTGATATTTATAGCTGACTTCCCGATAAACTAGCGGTTTACTCCAAATATGGTAAAATTAAAACATAAAAAAAAAAAATTACACACTCACTGCTCTATCTTCCAAACCAATTGATATTCTTAAAGTCTTGGTATGCAATCCTTTAAGTTTTTTGCGATTTTTTTCGATCAGTGTAATACTTGCTAGGATCGGACTATCATAGCACATTTTCAGTTCTGCTGGTATATACATAGAAGTCAGCATCGCACACTCTCTTGGTGCGCTGCGTTACTACGCGGACTGCCGACCCCTGTGATATAATACATAAAAGTTTAGAAACCAAAAAAATGGACTGCATTTCCCTAAACAAAATATTGGCTCAATTGTATTGTAAAAACCTATTTTGTTCAAACTTCATCTGTTAAGTTTTCTTTTTTTTTGTAAATCAGCTTTGCATTAATACTTTTATTGGCAAAATGAAAAGTTTGTAAATAAAACACCTTGATCCATGCAAAAAGTAATATTTCATTTGCTGGATAAGGGTCAAGTGGTGAAAGACGCATTAGCGGTCGACACTGCAACAATGACATTTTTTCATTAATTTGTGGGAAGTGCCACTGCTAAGGTACGCTGTACTTGTGCCGTTAGAGGCTGAGCTGAGCTATTCCCTCCGCGGAATTCAATGGAAAAAAAAATGGTTTTTAAAAAATAATGTGCTTTTTTCCTTTCATGCATACAAAAAAGTAGACAATGTTATGTGGTTTTTGCTTTTTGCAAGTGTCATTTTAACAACATTAAGAATTACTCAAAAATATAGATCGATAGGGGCGTGGCAGCTAGTCTTCGGCGCCCCTTTGAAAAGGGGCTAACTACAAATAATACTGCGTTTGGAAGGTAATAGAATTCCGCTGGTATCGTCGAAGCCCATCTAATTTAAAATTCTTTTTGTATTTTTGCAAATGTTTATAATTTTTTTAAATGCAAAAAAATTCAAAACAAGAAAAATGGCTTTGACAATACAATTTAACTACCATTATTACTGTTTGTATTTTTTAGTGAACCCTGTGATATTATTCGATATAATTTAGTATCAACACGTTGCGGAAATTCATTTTCATTCATTAAACAGTCAAACTGAATTAAAAAAAACTTTTAAAGTGTAGAATAGGCAAATTTAAGTTTATCTGCTTACGTTAGCTATAAAGCTAGAATTTTCGGTATCATCTTTCAAAGAAAGCCAAATCTGATGGGGGAAAAAAGCGGAAATGACACCACTGGTGCATATCAAAATTGACCAATTGCCACCCAAAAGAACCTCTAAGGTGCTTGGTACATTAAAATCTACCAAAATGACCAATATTTTGTGAAGTTTTTTTTAATACTACCTCTTAAGGTAGCACCATTGTCAAAAAATATTTTAAACAAAAGCTGCAGTTCTTATGATTAGTTATTATCTTTTATTGCGTTAATTTAATTGGACGCTCAATTAATTGGTCTTATTGTCAGCACCAAACTTGTATTTAAAATTTTGCAAATCATCCTATATTTAGTCATATTTTCCATATATAATGCGTTCAGATTAATGAAATGTCACTTTTGTCTGAAACGATTTTTATGCTCATACTTGGATCACGACTGGAGACAACCTTCGATAGTTTGGCATAAGCGGATCTGATTGGGAAAACATTTCGGCACTAACTTCCATGGTCCACTTAAGAAGCTATTTGTATGCTTACAAATTATTTTTACGCTCCGAACAAGTGATTGCCCGCCGTTTTCTAAACATACCTCGGACTATTCTTTGATGAAACCCTCATATGAAAAGCAAACTTTCTAGCAAAAAAAAAATTAGCTTATCACCAAATTTCCATAATTTTACTGGCTCCTGAAATAAAACTCAATTCTAAACACCAACTTCCAACTACAAACTTCTGCTATGCAACGCAATTGTTCGTACCCAAAGGTACTCAACATGACCAGACCCAACAAATCAAGCAGTAGCCAAGTTGGGAACAGTACCAGGCGCTCAGTAGCACCCACTGCATATGAGAATTGCTGATCAGCATATTATATGTCTCACTAACTCACCGTCTCAACGACTTAACGGCACACTGACCGGCCAATGCAGTCAGCACATTTTGCAGTGTCTGCCGCGCCAACTACACAAACTGCTACCATAATCAAAACTCCCCTACCTACCTACCTACGTTAGAATATAGCTTACTTCACTAATCATTACACTAAACTTCCGTGTTCCAAGTAGTATATAAACATGTACCAAATGAAGAATAAATCAGTTATCAACACACCTCTTAACTCCGCGGTTCTACTTCCTACATCTGGGAATAGGGCTCGTAATACACTATCTCAACTAGCAGCTAACCACGTTAGCTAACCCTCAGCGCAGCTCCAGCATCGCCTGTGGTCCGGCATCGCAGTAACCTTCGTTACCATTGCCGCGACGCGATCGTCCTGCCAGCAAAGCGTCCCCGTGCCAGCGAC